GGGCTCCTCAGACAACCCAGGACCATTGTTAACCTTCGAGATACAGCAGGTCAAACTAGTTCCAAACCAGATTTACTCATAATGTGGAAAGCTAGGCCAGTGAATATTCTTCAGTGTTCAGAATAAGATCTTCTGAGTCTGCTGTGATAGTTAGGTTTTCTGTGCCAACATGACTCCCGTAGGAACATGTAGGTGGAGTTTAGCATGTCAATCAGGTTGCAGCTTGATTGGAGGACCAGTAAGATAAATGAATTTCCAAGGCCTGCCTCCTTCTCTCTTCCCTTGGAGGAAGTCCACACTTTCTGCTTCCCCTTCTGTTGACAAGCCACTTCAAGCCATGCCTGGAGATGTGTCCACTGCTATTGAATCTACAAAACTTCGCACCCACGGGCCTGTGATCTTTTTTGCATTCTGCATCATTGCTTATGATGTGTGTCTGAGGAGGGATTTATGGACTAGTATCAGACTTGATCAGGACTGAACTGGGATGTTTTCTTAATACACAATTGCTCTCTATAAAATTAGTCTTTCTTATCCATATATGAGAGTCCCTGGATTTGTTTCTCTAGTTAACCCATCTAACAGAGGCTGCCTTCCACATTGTAAACATGCAGATCATGTGAAGATAAAAGGACACTCTGGCTCACACTAGTGCTCATCTCAGTTGAGGTTTTGCTGTTTCTAACGCATCTCGCGTGTGGCATAAAAGCACCTGCCACACATATCCTCTTCCCTGTTAGGAAAGATCTATACAGGAAGCTGTGGCACTGCCCCTTGTGACACATGTTGAAGTTCTTCTATATGCTCCACTTATCAGTTGCATGTTCAACCCTCTTCTAAGGCTTCAAGATGCATCTAAAGGTAACAGTAAACTTGACAGAATGTAAAACTGGCCTTAAATAAACTGTAGATGGGTCTATGTAAATACTGTAGTACATGTTGGGAAACAGGACCAAGAAGTAGGGAATACAATATTTACATTTGAGAGTAAATGGTCTTTAGACCATTATTTTTTATGACTGCTTGGAACCTTAACACCTTATTAGAGTTGGCGCGGAGAAAGTAAGCATTTACATCAAGTATAGAGGAACAAGCTTGGTTTAACTTGAGCTTTCATAATCAATCAAACCAGTGTGGAAATACCACTTCAGAGTTCAGACCTGACTTTCTCAGTGCCCAGGAATACTGCAGTGAGGCCAGGTAGCTTAGCAAGCCTTGGAAGTGGGCATTTGGGATTCTAGAGCCTAATGACCACTGGCCAGTAGCATGGCCTGTCTTCATTGATTTCATCTATAAAAACAGAAGAGCAGGCTAGTATCTTAGTAGTATTGTTGAGTCACAAGACTTAGAGGCTAACTAGAATCAAAGTAAGTTGACTGTAAGAAACGGTAAGGAATCTCACTGAGGACAGAAAACAAAGCTTACCCAGTGACATGGGGCTAAACTGGAAAGTCAGAATCTACAGCTGTTCCCTCAGCTTCTCCTGGATCCTCAAGGTCCCTCTTTGATTTTCAATAATTTTACATCATTAAAATGTTTCAAAGACTTCACTGGGCTGGAACAAAAACATTCTTACAGGTTGATTCAGAATTAGAGGTTATTTTCTCCATTTTTTCTTATTAACAAGAAATATATTCTTTTGAGCTGTACATATGAGGGAGCTTCAGAAGATTTGTGGGAAAGTTCTACAAACTTGCTGAAGCGTCCTTGTACTCCCCCTTCAACATCTCTGTGCTTCCTTGATTCATTTCACATACTGTAGGAAGAGGAGGACACAGAGGATAAAATGTGACCCCATGACATTAAAATATTTTCCAGCTATGACATTACAGAAAGTGACACACTAGCAGCAGGTGTACTTCTGTCCACTGCTGTCATGTGTACCCCGAGGTCCAATATTCTCCAGGAAAGCAGATGCTGTAACATGGAACTAGGGGGGAAAAATCATGAGTCACAATGCCTTTAAAAAGATCGGAAGCACTAAGCCTTATGACAGACATGAATGTCTATAAGAACTCATTCACTGCCAATGAGTGGATGCTGACTCATGGAGACCCTATAGGACAGAGTAGAACTGCTCCTGAGGGTTTCAGAGAAACTCTTCACAGAAGAAGAAAGGCCTGTCTCTCTCCCCTTAAGAACCAGAGAAGTGTTTATATTAGGTATTTTATCTATTCCAATAATTATAGATGTGTTTATAATATCTACATATGTTCTTATTTCTGTCTAGGAATACAAAAAAATAAACACTTGGAAGTTTTATTAGAGCAAATGAACCTGGCAGATGAAAGTAAGGATGGACTGATGTTCAAAAATAAGAAAATGGATGATATGATTGTACAACTGTCCTTGACAGGACTGAACTATTGAATTGTATGACAGGTGAATTACATGTTGATAAAACTGTTGAAAAAATAAAATAATACAAAAGATAATGAGAGCGAATGACAATCAGGTAGACGGGAGCATGACCAAGTCGGGTAAGGGTTAATTCAGCAGTGTATTTCAAATTATTAATTACTGCAAACTCCTAAAGAGGCAAGTAAATGACAAAAACAAAATCCTTCATTATTAGGAAATGGAACATCTAGAATCGTAACTCCCAATACATAATACAAGCATTTTTAATGCTCATAACAGAACAGGTTAAAATATCTAATGAAAAGCCAAAAAGTTAAATTCTATCTGCCATGTAAAACTAGATATATCTTTACTACAAAAATCAGCAAGTTGCAAAGACAAAACTTCATAAAGAAAGACCTTGAGCCTGCAAATCTTCACAGGAGTAGAAAGCCTCTTTCTTCCCCAGTGGAGCTAGCTGGTGGTTTCGAACTGCTGACTTTGCAGTTAGCAGCCCAATGTGTAACCATTATGATTGATAGCATCATTAGTTTAGCCAATGGTATAGAAAATTTTAAAAATTCTGTTGAGAAAAGGAAATTCTACAAGTATAGGCCAGATATGAATTGTAATACATGAATTGTTGACTTGTACAGATTAAAGTTGGACACTGCTTACATAAACAACGGGGGTTGGTGATAGGGCAGATCTTCCACTAGTATTCATTCACAGCAAAAGGGCCAACACCCACCAGATTAGTACAAGTCATAATGAAGCAGGAGAGCATTGAAGCAGTATATGGGAGCTCTAGGCCGCCATTCACTGGGCATCCTCAAGGCAAGGGCCTTGAACCGAAGCTCAACGTCTGCCAGTTCTAGTCGTCCTCTGCTTTTAATGTTTTCCTATATATGAAATCCAGGACAGGTAAATTTATTGAGAAAGTAACTGGATTAATGGTTCCTTGTGAGTAAGGCAGGGGAGTTTGGGTGGGAATGGGGAGCTAATAACAATAAGGACAAGATCGAAGAAAATATTCTCAAATAATTGTGATGATTGTACAACTCTTTGATGTCACTGAACTATTGAATTGTATGATATGTGAATTAAATGCCAATACAACTGTTGGGGGAAAAAA